TTCTTTAATAAATTCTATTTGTTAATATATTACAGATATTTTAATTTTCATCATCTAATATTGATTTGTGAATAATCATATTGAAATTAAATTTATTATAGATAATTAAAATACACCCAAAATTTAGAGAAAAAAATAGTAACTTAAATATAAACAAAAAAGCTTGATTATAAAAATTTTGATTCTTTGATAGTAGATATATTTTACCTTTATAGCTGGTTTAATTTTGATGATTTTGTGTTTAAAAAACTCTGCAAACTGCAAAAATTGTTTAAATCTAAAATAATCAAAAATAGATTAACTGTTCTTGAAATGTGACTATTACATAGTAGCAAATATTAGAATTAGAGCCAAAAGTTAATACAAATAAGCTATTATTAATTAGTTTAACATTGATATTTTATGAATAGCTGATCTTTTTTCAATATTTTTTGCTTTAAAAAATACTATAAATATTAGTATTAATTGTGTAATAATAATATTTTGTAAATAGCAATCTGTTTTAGATTATTTTGAATTTAAGAGACAAAACTTACTATTTATTATATTTGTTTAAACCAATTTGACAAATAATTTAGCTATTTTTGAATATAGAAAGTTGTAAATTTATTTTCTGGATCATTTCAAGACCATTGTATCGGAAAATTTATCAAAAATTGCAAATCAATAAATAAAAAATCTGTTTTAAATAGTTTTTACATTTTATCTTATATTGCTTAAACAAATAGCTATAAATTAATATAGTAACTTTAATCAAAATATATAATAAATATTAAATAATAATAGGTTTTATTCAAGAATTTAGTAGATTTTTTTAACAACCATTTATCTGACAACTATTTTGCTAATAGCTATTTTGCTAACAATCTATAGTATCTAACAAAAGTTTTCCTGCATCTTTAATTTTTGCTAGATCATATGTAGGCATATTGTGAAAGGGTAAATCATGGCTCATAATAGAATTTTCTATTTTTGGAGGGTAAATACATATTAAATTTAATCTATTGAGTGAATATTGGCTTATTTTATATGCTGAGGTAGCTCAGATCAAACCTAGCCAAAATTAGCTAGTATGGAGAAAATGGTATTTATTGAATTAATGGAGTTTATTCAATTTATTGAATTTATTTGATTTATTGCATTTATCTAATTTATTGTATTTATCGCATTTAGTCGATTTATCACATTTATTAGATTTATCATATTTAGTACAATTAGTCGATTTAGCGAATATATTCATTGTGTATCTATTAAATAGTGTGAAAGTATAAAAACACTGCAATAAAGATAGCTTTAACTTTGTGAAGAACTTTGTGAAGTTTAATTTGAATAAGTTCCAAGAAAACCTTCGAAATTAGAGTAGAAGCATTTGTTTTTGACCCGTTAAACCTCTTGTAAAAACTCATATAAAAGTTCGAAGTTCCATATTAAAGAAATTAAAGTATTTAACTTGTGATCCCTGATAAATAAATCCATAGTTACGATTAGAATTCGTGACCAAATCCTGTGACTCTGTGGAAAGAGATTCGTAATGTAATCAAGAGCTCTAATCTGACACTATCGATAAGAACTCACTTCACCCTAGTTATTCAGACCAAGTTTCTCTACACCTCGATCGTGCCTTATTAATATTAGGGTTTGATTTTATTAGTTGTAGTAGGACCCCAGATAATTCTAAGGTAGGTGGGGGGTAAAAAAAGTAGATTTTTTGGGCCGAACGTGTCTAAATTCTAGTCAAAATTAAAATTTAATTTTAATTTTGACCAGAATTTAGACATGTTCAGCCCAAAAAATCTACCCTTTTTTACCCCCATCTACCTTAGAATTATTTGGGGTCCCGTTGTAGTGTTCTGGTTAGAGTAGATTTAGTGTTGTATTGTAGTGTATATTGGTATTATCCAGGACCATAAGATATATTTTTCACTTTCTTAATATGAAATTTCATTCACATATAGTACTTTGCATATACAGATTGTACTAATGTTTTTCATACATGCTTGATAATAAAAATACCTAATTCAACCATACTAAAATTTTAGCCAAAAAAATATCTTTTGCTTTATATAAATGATATGAAATCATTTTTTTAAGCATCTATCTAAAAGGCCCCAAGCTTTCAATTCATGAAACAGCAAAGCAAGTTTATTGTGATGAAAGTTCTATATGTATTGGATAAAAAAAATGACAAGAAACTAAGGACTTAAGTAACAAACCAAAGTTGGACCATAAAAGGGCCACTATTCAAAGACAAAACAAACAAATTTTGAAGCTGAAAAAGAAAATAAAAATATTACAGCCCCAGAAATCTATTGTGAACTAATAAAACAGAATATTGATATTTATATATATACTATTTAACGGCACCTTCATGAAGGTAGAACAGCTATTATTGAAAGTTCTTGAAGTCTTTGCTTGAGGAGAAATATTAAAAAAATATCTTTTGTAGGTAAAGAAGCATAAGAACTTTGACTGTGATTCTGTAATATTTACTGACAAAAGTATCTTTTGCTTGAATTAATGACTAAAAAAGATGTGACAGTTCTCCGGAAGAAGAAAATTAACCTGCTTTGTCAAGCATCTAACAATGGGCTGTTTTTCTTCTTCGAGCTTTGGCAGGTTGGTTTGTTTTATGCATAACCTTAACATGCAATATATAACCACTCTGTATGAAACAGACCTTCTGCATTCTATTGTAAACCTTTTTAATGAACAATACAATAGATGAATCTTGCAAAAGGACAATAATTAAACATTGTTCAAAAATCACAAAGGCTTGAAAAGAAGAAAATGACATCCAGGTTCTCTCCTGGTCATCAATATCACCTGACCAAAACCTAATTGAAAATGTCTAGGTTGATGAAAATAAACCTGACAAAAAAAAAAATTAGAACTCTTAATCATTTGAAAGGTGAAATAACAAGGGAATGGAATAGCTTACCTAAAGAATTAGTTAGGAGTATGAAGGATCATGTAGAAGCCCTAATTGAAGCTAAGAGCAATTATACAATGCATTGATTTTTATTGTAATGCAATGTATTTTTAAATAAAAAAAAATTTTTACTTACCTCACCTCTGTGCTGAGTTAGAGGTGCAGGGAAACTTTTGTCAGGCACTGTATTTCCCTGGCAGCCACTTCCCCGAAACTATTTCCTCGACAGCCCATTACTCTGACAGTTCATTTCACCAACAATCACTAGCCAACACTAACTATAAAGCGGGCCAACCAAAAATCGAACCAAAATTGTCGGCGAGATGATGGTTTCGGGAAAGTGGATGTCGGAAAAATATGTTGTTGGTGAAATGGCCGTCGGCGAAATGGGTGTCGGGTAAATGGATGTCGGGAATTGGTTTTTACCATTATTCAAATAAATTATTATACAAAAGTTTTGCTCTTGTGTGACGTTGAAAAGTAACAGATTAAATACGTTATAATCAATAAAGAGCTTTTCTTGTAGATATACGAGATAAAATGCAAATAAATATAATAAAACAACTATGTCAAGCAGTAGAAGGGTGCGCTATTGCTGTTGCTTGGTTAAGAGAAAATTGGTCAGTTGATCTTCAATAGTGATCGTACAGTAATTGGTGGAAAAATTTGGGGAATTTACAAATAAGGGCCCCGGAAAGTGAAAATAATTACAAATACGGGCTCAAATAAAAAATAATTGCATATAAGGGCCTAATTTTTAAAAAATATTACATATAAGGGTCCAAAATAACTGCGACGTTATTCAAGCCTGTGGCTTGATCGTTATTAGTATAAGAAATATAAGCTCCGACAAATGCAATTATTAAGCACATAAAATATGTAACGATCGATTGTAAATTAATTTAATAACTTTCATTTTCTTTGTATAAAATTGCTTATTGTTATAACAAACCACCATGATGTCAAGTAAAGCACTGCGAATTGGCATGACATTTACTAATATGGAAGATGTTCGTTCAGCTCTAGAGAGCTACTCTGTTGATTTTTATACAATATTTAAACGAAAATGATTATAAGCAGCGCCTCATTCATTTCTTTATCTAATGATCGGTATGTAGATAACTCTAAATGCCTATAATAAATAATCGATAATTCCATAATCGCAATTTTGCAATCGTGTCAAATGGCTAGTATTTTGTGCACAGTAATCCCGTGATCACATTTTTTTTTGCACGTCTGAAATGTGTGCCAGGTTTGTGGTACAACTATGGCGCATATTGTGATCAAGAAAATTCAAAACAAACGTTCGTTTTGTCAAAAATCGCTTATTTCTCGAAAATCTGCATAATAAACCAGCTTTAGTGCTCTACCAAAATTTTTCGTGAGCGATTTTAATATACTATCACCTAACCTCTAACCTTATTATAAACGCTAACTCTAGCATTAACGAACTTTAAAGGTTTTTTTGCTGTGCCACAAACCTAGCACACATTTTAGACGTGCATATTTTTTAAAATTAGCCCTTTATATGTAATTATTTTTAATTTGGGCCCGTATTTGTAATTATTTTCACTTTTCGGGCCCTTATTTGTAAATTCCCCCAAAAAATTTATAGTCACGGGGAATTAATATAAATAAATGAGTACGTAATTTATATTCGGTACTCAAACGACTATTTTAAGAGGTGTTCTGTAACCCAAAATCGGATTGTGGGACTCTAAGCAGTGTACATTTCTTGAATGCACAATAAATACGTTTCATATTTAATAATGCATTAAACAAAGGTCTTAATAGTATGTAACCACTACTTCTGTATTTTCAACATTATTTTCATTCATTTGAATCCTAAAATGTTTACTTTAAAACAGAGAAGGGCGCTTTTAAAAATAATATTTGTCAGCGGCTTGACAATATTGACCATTGCGAGCTTCCTTCGAGTATTCATTCCTCAATATTCACCTGGTCCCGCTCATTATAACAAACATGAAAAAGTAATTTCTCTGAATAAGTCTCTTAATTCCACTCTTGGCTTTGATCACATCTATGTAATTAACCTTGCTAAGAGGCCGGATAGACGCAGGGTAATGAAAGCCATGACTGATTCCCTTGGTTTAGATGTCGAGTTTTTTACTGCCGTTTCTACCGATGATCGCAAAATGTTGAATAGATTTAATAATTCCACTTATCTGAAAGATACTCATAAAGCATGTTATATCAGTCATTATTTGATCTACGCATCAATTGTTTCTAATGGTTACGATAGTGCCTTGATATTAGAAGATGATGTAGATATTGAACTCGACATCACATCGATAATGTCCTATATTCATCGTGTTTTACCTGATGATTGGGATCTTCTATACTTAGGTCATTGTATGAACTGGGAAGGTTCATTCTTCGAGCCCATAGATGATAGTTCTCCTATATTTAAATTATATCCTTCTAAAAAACCATATTGTACACATGCTTACGCAGTTTCATACGCTGGTGCTCTCAAATTACTAAAAGAACTTGCCGTTTTAGAAGTTCCAGTTGATCTCGAATTAATATCAAGGATTGATGATGGAATCGTCACTTCATACAGTATTGAGCCTGCTGTTGTCGTTCAATGGCGTTCTGATGATAACCCGTCTGATGTTTCTCCGGATGCAGAAGTGGAACATAAAACTTTATTAAATTCTACATTAAATTCAATTGGGTTCTCGTGGAAATAATTTAAGCTCATGACAATATATCTTTTACATAAATCTTACATTAAATCATATTCTTACTAATTATACCTTTAATTAACTCTTCTTTGGTTAAACTTGTTTAAAGAAGCAATGGGATTATTCACAAATCAATATTAGATGATGAAAATTAAAATATCTGTAATATATTAACAAATAGAATTTATTAAAGAA